TACTATATAAGAAGAGTGAATAAAATTCACTCTTCTTTTGACACATGGCACCCAAAAAAAGGAAAGGGTTGAACATAAGTCTCAAGGTGAGGGTATTTTGGGTATTTCAAAATACCCTCACATTCACACTTATGTACTACTTATATTATACATTATATATTACTATTATATATATTTATTTTTTTAGTAGATAAGTGTGAATGTGAGGGTATTTTGAAATACCCAAAATACCCTCACCTTGAGACTTATGTTCAACCCTTTCCTTTTTTTGGGTGCCATGTGTCAAAAGAAGAGTGAATTTTATTCACTCTTCTTATATAGTAAAATACATAAACTGCTTACTAGTAGCTTTGTTTTTGTTTATACTAAAAATAAAAGAAAGCTCTTTGTTCATTGCAATAAATTAAGAAGAAAATAAATAAATGGTGAAATATGCACTGCGTGCGTTGTACAATTTCCAAGAAATGTGGTTCCCTAATTGCAGGAAAAAAAAATATGTCAAACAAATTGTAGATAAAACGATATGAGTTGTGGTAAGATAATTTGAAATTTTTATTTTTAATTAGAGATTTTGAATTCGAGCAACTAAAAATAAAAAATAAAAGTAGAAATTATTGTCTGAAAAAATAAACTTTATGAATTTAAATTTAATCAAATTCTAATATATATATATATATAATAATTATAACAAAATAATAACAATAAAAAAAATGTGGTTCGACCAAACATGAACAGTGAAGTGAGTGGTGCACGGGTATCTCAAGCGCAGATCTCTATAATTTTAACTTTTTTTATTTTTAAAATATCACCTCCCAATACGATTTGATTTAATTTTAACTTTTTTATTTTTTAAAATATCACCTCAAAATATACAATTATTAAAATATTTATTTTACAAGCACGTTCTTAAGAAGCACTTCAATTCTTTACCAAGAAGTTAAGAATGTAAAATCTTGTTGCTGTATTGTTTGATCTTAAACATTTAATAGGAGTGTTTGCATAAGTTTTGTCGTATTGTTTGATGGAGTATCTATTTATAGTATCTTTTAATTTTAAACCTAATTAAAGAACAAAGACCTAAAGTCATCTAGTCACCAGAGGCCTAGGACTTAGGTTATATTTATAATTGAAAAATATTATGAAATATATTTATATATAAAATTTAATACATTGTTTACACCTAAAATATATTTATACACATGTAAGGACGATATTCAGTTCGGTTAGAATTTTTTTTAATTTTTTTATAAATTAAAAAGACCATTTCAATTGTTCGAGATGGTTATACACTTAAATAAAAATCTACAATTTTATTAAAAAATAATATAAATCAATTTGATTCGATGCGATTGAATTAAACTCGATCAACTTTTCATATTCTCTTGACACCCTTTACTTTAAAATTTTCATCATTAGCAACATATTTAATACTTAGTATGTATTTAAAGTAACAATACAGTCAAAGTTCTCATGTGAACTTTCAGAAAATAAGTAGCCTAGATTGCCATATTTTAAAACTTAGAGGGACCAATTAGAAAACTTCCAACTATCACATACGTCCCTCTTCTTCCCTCCTTGTTCCTCGAATTTGGCGCGAAAATCCGCCATTGACACAAATTCTCCAATTTAGGGCAAAGCTTTGATTTTCTCCAAACCGAAACATGGAATCCTTCGAAGAGCAATTCGAGCAGATAACAACTCTTTTATCATCAAACAAACCGTTGGCTTACTCGACGCTGCTTCATCTCCAGCAACAATCCGGCGCTGATCCTTCTCTCGTTAAGCTGCTCGCCGATTCATCTTCTATCATCGTTTCCTATATTCTCTCCGATATCTCCGATAACGACGAGGAAATGTGAGTTTCTTCAATAGTAATTAAAGTTTATGAGTTTCTACAACGAACTTAGTTAATATATATACGAGTTCACAGTCAAATTCAAATATTATATGTATTTAGTGCATACTTGGTTTCTAAGTTCATACTCCCCTGTCCCAAATTAGTTGTATGTTTTGCTTCTCGATAATGAATTTGACTAATTTTCAACTCAATAACGTATAACTCAAATTTGGATATTCAAAAACTATATGAAAAATACTATAATTTGCAACTTTTCTGATGTTATCCTGACAACTAGTTTGGGACGGAGGGAGTATATATATATATATATATATATATGTTGACATGTGTATAAAATTGAATTCTTCTTTTTTTTCTTTCTAACTTGCCTCTTTGGTTGATAATTTCAAAAGCTGATTTTGGTTATGTTTCCTCAAAATTATAGTGCTGCTCAGGCATTGAAGTGCTTGGGATTTATGATATATCATCCATCTATAGTTGGCTCAATCAAAGGTTCTATCTTTTGTCCTTTATTTATTTTTGTTTAAGTGTTCTCCGTTTCTTGCTTTTAAGAATCCCGTTTAGTTGCTCATTTGAACTCTCAAAAGAGGTGTCGTAAGTTAGTCCCTCCATCTCAAAATGTTGGATGCTCTTTTCAAGGCTCAAATTAACCTGTTGTTGGAGTAAAAATAGATGTAGATAACTTTGTTATTTGAAAAAGATTAGAGATTTAGCAGCCCCATAAACACAGACACTACAAAAGAAAGAAGAAAAAGAGCCCACAAGTTGAAAAATCCAAGGTCAAAATTTAGCATACTCGATTGTTGAAAAGTGTAAAGTGACAAACACTTTGGCAGAGAGACTAAAATGAGAAGCAATTCATTTTCTGGATTAGTTGGATTTAAGGAAGTACAAGATGTAGAAAAAAGAATTCACCTTAAATTCTTGCCAAATTTATTAGAGAAATAAAGCATGGGCGGATATGATTAAGATAAAGAGTATGTTGAAAGAATTGAAGTGTGTACTTTGAAAAAATAATGAAGGTGATATACAGATCTTTTTGTCTTGTTTTGGTGTCATTCACACAAAGCTACACGTGTGAGTTATTCTTTACTGTTACTTGTGCAAGTATTCTTGGGGCAGATTCAGAATTCTGGAGCTAATGTAGCTTTGATGACTAAATTTAGGTGATGATGCCAGGGCTATTGTTGATTCTCTCGTTGAGGTTATTACAACCAGCAAGATTAAGGTATTCTGAACTTCTCGATAGGCAACAAAGTAATGTATGTAAGGCAGCCTTTGCTAAGAAACATGATTCGAGAATTTGACTTATAGTTATTGTTAATTGCAGTCTGTTTGCAACTTGGGTGTGTGGTGTATATCAATGCAGCAGTTTAACTCATCGCTTTTAGATGCAAATTTCCAGTGTTTACTGAGGGCAATTACTTATGCGCTTGACAATCCTATTGGCTCTCTTTCAATCACATTTGAGGCAATGCAGGTATGTATAGCTGAATATAGCTGAATATAATGTGATTGGTTCTAAGCGATAGGTAAAGCTGAATATATTGTGCAATGATGTGTCTAACCTAATAACAAAGTAAAATTTGGATCTTGATTCTTGTCCGATAGTAGGAGTTAAAACTCATGTGCTACTCCTTTCAACATCATACACGTGAACAATGGTTCATTTAGATAAATGTGAAATAATCATGGAACTTACAATTAGAGGAACATCTTTTTCAAATATTTGTATGAGCAGGGTTTATTTAGCAAGTTCTTTTAGAATGAGTGAAGAAAAAGACTTCCGGTTGAAAATCGATAGTCATATGTGCTGAATAAGAGTTATTACCTTCTCTTTTATACAGCAGATGAGCGCTATGTATAGTGCTTATCACAATTTTTTTGTTCATTTGAAAGGAGTAGAGTGTTTGTTTTTGTTGAATAGAGCAAGCAATGTTGCTCTCTGAATTGATCGCTACACCTTGGATTATTCTCATGATACTGTAATGACTAATGAGAAAAGAAATGGAAGGAGATAGCCATATTTGTACCTGAATAGTAACAGAATCAGAATCGCAATAAAAAAACAAATTTTGTACTGGACTGCTCTTTGTACACTTAGTAGTCTATAAGCCAAATGCACTTCCATCATTTTGGATGTTCTTGCATATGTACGAAATGACTTGGAATAAAGGTACACTGGACTTTTAATGTATAACCTTCAGCGAAATGCATGTATGTATACACACACATACACATACACATATATGATACATACACATACACACACACACACACACACATATATATATACATATTATCATCTCAAATCAATTCTTTAGTATTGGTACATGTCATCTCTGAGTTATTCTCTGTGATTATACTACTATAGGCTGTAATGAAGTTGGCGAGTACATCAGCTCAAAATATGAGAGCCATGTCAAACATATGGGCTCCTCCAGTTTATAGAAGACTAGTCAGCAGTGATAAAAGGGAAAGAGACATGTCAGAGCGTTGTTTACAAAAGGTCTCAAGCGTGATATGTCCTCCACCAGTAATTCTTTCTAAGGTAGCATATAATATTCTGTTCTTATATTCTTGTTCGCTGTAATCCACTTTGTTTCTTATGTTTCCTGAGGAGACCAAAAATGTGCATCTATACAGACTACAGTATTATGCAGGGGCGGATTTACCTTAGGCAAAGGCGTGTCACGGCTTCGTCAGAAAATTTTATCAAGTATAAATAATTGAAAAGCAAAATATAAATCAAGACCAAATACAGTAAAGTGACACTCCTTATAACAAAGAGTAGCGTAGCTCATTTGTTTCAGGGTCATATCTTCAGGTTAGATGTTGGGAGTTCGAACCTCAATAGCACCTTTTTCGATTCTAGTTAATATTTTAATTAAATTTATTTCGCTCACACATAGAATGCTAAAAAAAATTCTTAATTTTTTAATATAATATTATAATTTTCTGTTTATTTATTTTTATTTTAAAATGTGACTCCGCTTATGAAAAATCTTGCGTACGCCACTGGTATTATGCATTTCAACTTAATCTCCAGAACAAAAAGTAATCGGAACAAACATGTGTCCAATTATCTATATTAGTGTTTTTGAAGAATTCTGGTGAATGAAGGATCCATGTAGTGTAGTCAAAAAGTGTATATGTTAAATATAAGGCATTAATTTTGTTATTTGTTTATTAGTATAGGGATCATGCAGATTCCCCACCCAAAATCATCGTTCTAAAGGAAGCTGTGATTTATTTTTTGTGATAAAAAGACTATAATTCATGTTAACTGTTAAGTGACATGTTTTATCAATTTTAGTTTATTGCCTCTTAAACAGGCCCTTGTCACAGATTTGAAGAAGACTTTGCTTTTGACGATGGAGGAGCTGCTGAACCAAGGCTTGAAGATTCAAACTCTACAAGTGTGGAGATGGTTTCTGCGTCTACTCGGACCTTATGGAATGAAATATAAGCATTTGGTCAACAAATTGCTTAAAATTCCAGAACAAACTTTTACGGACCATGATCCACAGATTCAGAGTGCTTCACTGGTATGCTATTCATTCATCTAAGTTTGACACATCAATTCCAGATAATTTAATGCGACTTGGTCAAGCAAAAGTCCTGTTCTAGTATTTGATTTTTAATCATGGGATGCAATAGCCGCTGATTGTTAATGGGATCAGCTATGTTGCTCTGACTCTTAGAAAATGTTGCCGCACCCATGCCGGATCCTTAAAAAATGCACTACTTTTGAAAGATATGACAAAGTCATCAGCATTTTTGAAGTGTCCGAGCAACATAGATGGGATGTGTCCAATCCTTATTTATGAGCACCCGCTGAAAAAGCTGTAGCTTTGATGGCAACTAATTCTTAATTTTAAAATGAGTAAATCAACCTTATATGATGTCAGTATCCTTGCTTAGAATTTTTATATATTTACTCAACTTCAATGAACATTGATTAGCATCTGCCTATGTTTTGGTGTTAACAATCAAGTGCCCAACCCAAATATATACATTATCCTATTTAATTGGAAATTTCAGTTCTTACAGTCACTTCTTAGCTATAAAGAAAATAATGCATTGTGGTCCGACCCTCCCCCAAACCTCGCCATAGCGGCTTCTTACACTGGGCGGCCCTCTTCAGTTAAATTTATTCTTTTTTCAGATTTGCTTGCTTGAATTAATCTAAAAAGATTATTAAACTGAACAATTAAAAAATAAATAGATTCTTCTGATTTTGTTAGATTTGTTCGATGGTAGTAACATAAAAAAACTATTAAAATGAACCAACTTTAAGTAATGCTTTTACCAAGTTACAAATTGCAAATTCGTCCATGAATGATTGATTTGAGAGAGAATTCTAGAATATCATCCCGATAAAAGAGATCAAGTTTATCAACTAAATTATAGAATTCTTTAAAATCACAAGTAACTTAATGCAAAGTCATCTACTAATAATTAACTTGAGGGAGAACTCTAGGATATTATCCCAATAAAAGACAGTAAGTTCGTCAATTTGGTTTGACTTTAAAACTAATGAGTGCCTTCTACTATTAACTTAGTGTGTCATGTTTTAATGTATTTATAGTGTTCTTGTACTTGGAGTGTCACATCAAAAATTTGATGCAAGGAATTTTTGCCTCCTATAGCACATATCTGGCATCGTAGCTATATGAATACCATACATTTTATATTAGCTATAAATTTTACCACTCAATTGCTGTAGTGCTGTCAAGTTTTTTACTTTTTTTCATTGCAGGAAGTTCAGCTCCTTAGTGCCATTTTTCCTATAAAAAAAGAAAGAAAGAAAGAAAAATCACAAAAAAGAAAAAGAAAATAGAGTGCTTCCACTAAGTCAACTTTTTGAATAACTGGGGTGTGTTTAAAAATTAAATAAATGCCTTATTTCTGCAGGTGGCCTGGGAAGGTCTCATTGATGCTTTAATCTGCTCACAACTTCATGCTCCTGAAAGCAATGCACTTGTAAAGAATCCTACTGATCAAACGGTATTCAAAGGAAGTGATCCAACTGAAGCTGATGGATTTCCCAAAAAGATTAAACTTGTAATGACGCCCCTTATAGGAATCATGTCAAGCAATTGTGATGCATCTGTCCATGTATCCTGCCTGAATACATGGTCTTATCTTCTGTATAAGCTCGACAAGTTAGCCAGCTCCCATTCGGTGGTTAAAACAGTTTGGGAGCCCATCTTGGAAGTCATCATCAAGGTTGGGCCTGTCAATAAGAATATATGGTCATGGAGTTTCTGCATTGAGCTGCTTGATAATTTTATTTCAGCAGGAAATAAAGATGTAAATAGTAAGTTAAATGACCATAAGGCAATGAGACTTCCAGAATCTGCAAAATACTCATGGAAGTACTATCCAATTAAATGGTCACCTTTGGATCTTGGTAACTTGGAGTTTTTCTTAAACACAATTCATGGTCTGATCATTCACGGGTCAGATATTACTCTGTCCAGTGAAATCAGGACAGTGACATATGGTGCTGCCTCAAGTTTGTTTCGATCTCTTCTGAGATCTGTTAAACATTGCTTGAAGTCTGACCTTATAACTTATGACGAGGTTATCTTATCTTTGAATATGATGTTAAAGTTTTTGAAGAGTGTATATGAAAATATGCATTCAAGGGATGGTGGTATAGATGATTTGCTACCTCTTTTACTTCAGCTTTTGGAGGCTTTTGTTGAAGAATTAGAACCATCAACATTGCAATCCCCTCTTTACAAGGTGATAGTAGACTTCAAAAATATTGAGACGTCAGAACCAGTCTATAAATTCAAAATTGCAAAGATACCAGATATCAGCTTTATGAATTGTATGGAGAAGGTCTCACCAGTTGCATATATTACTTTGCTCTATTTCCATGCAGTGACCAGAGCAACATTGAAAGCATCTGATTATGAAATAGTTGAAGGGAAACACAGATATGTCAAGCTTTTGCTATCTTCATACGAGCCTTTGGAAATTCTCAATCTTTTTGTTAGTTTATTATATACAGAGAAGATGTCCTGTTGCTTTGAGATCTGGATAGCTCTGGCGAATTGTCTGAAAGATTACATAGATAATCATAACTTCCACTCACTTTTCAAATTGCAGTCGGATAGTCCTGGTTATGCTATAACAATACATTTCTTGTGTTATCCATTTGCTGCATATTCTTGCCTTAAGGTGTATCTCAAGCTTCAGCATGTTATTGAAGTATGGAAATCACTTTATGTTTCTCTTAGCTGGGCATCAGAAATTGGTTATCCTACTCTAACTGAGGACCTGTTCTCAATGCTCTGTTCATATTTCAATGAAGCATTGACCAATGGCGATCTTGTCCCTGAACCTCAGTCAAGTGTAAATGGTCAGGATATTGATGTTCTGTTATTGTTTGGAGAAGCAATGATATGTGTCGTAGACCAAGCTTCTTTGATAGCAAAATCTGAAGTTAAAGAGTCTGAAAGTTGGAGATCCAGCATTATCAAAAGTAGCTTGGATTTCGCTTCCTGGTGAGCAATATGATTTTGCAAATTTTTCACTTACTGAAGCAATTACCTATCTTACTCTTGAGATTGGTGGTTTAAAATATTTAAGGCATAAAAGCAAAGGCCTTCTGACAGGTCAAAAATATTGAACCATTTTTTTGATCTTTAAGTACAGGTTGAACCAACAGCATGCCTTTTAACTTTTCTACCAAATAATTATTCTGGACCTATTTTAAAATTCCTGCTCGATTGATAACTTAAGCACTTAAAAAATCCTAAAAATTGTGCTGCTGCAAATGCAACTGTAAACTATACACATAAATTTATTTGGTTCAAGCACTGAAGTGCTTCATAACTAATAGTTGGAGTTTTGACAGCCTTATTTTGATTGAATATTCTAGTTGTCGTTTGCCTCCATCAATATGTTGAAGTAAATGAATTGCTTCTGTTCTGTTTCTATATGTAGTTTCTTGTACTTCCGTTACTTCTTTCTCTGGACTGTTTTTCCTTGAGCCGAGGGTCTATCGGAAAAAACCTCTTTACACTTAGGGTAAGAGTAAGTTCTGTGTACACTCTCCCCTCCCCAGACTCCACTTGTGGGACTACACTGGTTATGTTGTTGTTGTATGCCTTTGCTTTCCTGAGTAGAAGTCAACATGTCTGAGTTGAAGTTGTTAATATGGTGTCCTTAGTAATTGTCACTGATGTCAGACTAAAATATATTGCAAGAGTCTTCCAGTGATATGAAGAGCATTGTCATGTATCATTTCCTTAAAAAGAGTGTTTCCGATCAATTGACTTGAGCAATGAAATAGTTGAAAAAAGTGTAGGAGATCAAAATTGCCTACATTTGATACCATTTTTGATTTGTTTGATATTTGGAAAAAGCTGATTGCATAAGCTTTACTCTGCGCGTACTTCAATTCTCTACATGTTTCTTATATGTCCACTGCTTCTGCAGCTTCGTGAAGTTATCTAGGGCAAAGGGTGAAACTAATCTATCAACCAGCCTCATTGAGAAAAGGTAATGACTTTCCCGTTTAACTAGTTTCTTCAAATGGAGTACAGAATTCTGCTAACTGAGAGTTTCAGGCTGCTATCATCACTGGTTCACTTTGTTGGCTGCTTGAACTTGCAGAAGGATATAACATTATTCATTGAGGTTTGTACTTAGACTCTACTCTTGAGGAGGAAAATATGTATAAACTACGCTACTATGTTATTCTCATCTCATAATGTGTGTTTCCATGTTTTTTTATTCCGTTCCTTTCCTTTCCATCTTTTAATTATCTTTCCCATATGTGTGCTGCTCTCTACCAATCAGATGATTGGAAGGAAGCGGAGACGATTAGCAGCAGTATAAAGCCATTACTTAATTTGCTTTTGTTTTTTCCCTTTCTCTACTATTACAAAAGTTTAAATTGTATCCCGCTTTCTGTCTTCAGATGATGACCAGTACATTGCTTCTGTGGCTGTCACATTTTGAAGCTCAAGACAGTAACTTCAAAGATCAACTTCAACAGTTATGGATTCAGACACTGAACTGTTTGCAGAAAACGCTACCAATAATAGAATTCAATTCCTCTTTTCTTCAGCTCCAAGAGCCTCTTCTTGAGAAAACTCTTGATCATCCAGATCTCTTCATTTCCAACTCCACTGTTAACTTCTGGAATTCTACTTTCGGAGAGCAGACCAAGTTAGACTACCCTCAAAGCTTACTTCCAGTCCTAGACAAGCTGTCAAGGAGAGGAAAAATAAAACTCGGAAAAAGCAGCCTGTTAACCAATACTAAGGACAGTGCCGATGTAGATAAAGTTACAGTTCCAAATAGATACAAGGTGCCAACAACACTGCATAGGTGCTCCAAACGAGTTGAACTCGTGGGGAATGCAGCTAATAGTTCAGAAGGAAATGACAGAATTTATTCAAAGTCGAAACGAAGACACACTGAGCTGACTGAGCATCAAAAAGAAGTGAGAAGAGCACAACAAGGCCGATCAATGGATTGTAGCGGACATGGTCCAGGAATCAGGACATATACCAGTGTTGATTTTTCTCAAGGAAATGAAGAATCACAAGAAAGCCAGGACATTCGAGATGCAGATACTATTTTGGAAATGCTGCGCAAAGTTAAGTAAATTTTTAGTTTTAACTTTATACAATGTTGTAACATCAATAATTATGCTTTGTATATATGAGTTCCAATCGTTCTGGCTCTGCCCTGTTATTCTTTTCTCTGCATTATTTCGTTAGGAGTTTCTGCTATGGAAAATGTTGTGTTTCTTCATCAAAAACTGCTCATCAGGAGCATCATCATTCTTTAATCCTGTTAAGGTTTTTCATTCTGATATTTTGTTGAAACTTTAGGTGGTCTTTTCTTGTGTTCCCGGAGTTTAAAGGTTACATTTGTTTTCATTAAGATTAAGACGTTGAATACACATTTGAATTTTATGATGTGCATTAAGATCTAGATGGCTGAGTTCGAATACACATCTGAATATTAAGATGTTGTATTAAGATTTGAATATTAAATAATTATGACCATTCAATTTTCAACATCTCAATGCATGGTTTGAATAGTATTTGTTGTGCTAATAGGTAGTGGTGATGATAGCTGACAGTAGTGGTTGATGGTGATAGTTGGTGGTGGCGACTTACGATATGATCCAGGGTGTTTCTGGTTTCGTGTGATGGATAACCTTGGAACGATGGGAGGGGAGAGAAATTTGGCAAGATTGAGTGTGCTCGGTACATAGGAAAATATATTTTGGAAATGTTTTTTGACTTTCTCATGTTTGGTCAGTAAAAAAAAATTGGAGAACATGTTATCTTGGGAAATATGTTCCTTAAAAATGAGGAAAATGACTTCCATAAAGAACATAGGCAAAACAAGTTATAAAAGTGATATTTGATAGTGCCGTTTCCATCTTCCAACAAACGTCATCTTTACCCCCAATTACGGTAGTCCCATCCCCACCACCTCCTACCTTCCACTTTCTATCTCTCATAATACACTAAAACCTCACTAAATTAATAGTCGATAAATTAATTATCTCTCTAAGATAATATTTTTATCTAGTACCGACTTGAGCCAATGGAAAAAATCACCTATTTCGATAAGATAATATATTTTCAAAAGACCCCTATATAAATATACGGTCTCATTAATATTATAAATTAATAATTCTTTAAAAATACTAATATATCTAAGACAATTTATTGAAATATGATTCTATTATGTTTTTTTTTGTTAAGATTTAAATCTAGTTGAAGTTTATCTATAACTTTTCTTATTTCATCCAAAAGTTTTGGTATTGCCACATCTGTAAATCTTTTTTAGTGCATGTGGAATGATTTCCTTTATACTCAAATAATGTTTTACGTATTTGATCTATCATTGTTGATTTTGTGGCACCTTTAAAATGAAAAACCATTTTTGGATATGGTTTCAAGAAATTTCCTATGTTGCGTATGTAGTTTATTCTCTAGTTGTCATACATTGAATGTTTTTAGTAAAGATACAATGAATAATATTTGATTATTAAGAAAGAATGAACATTATGTATAATGAATTATTTTTACAAAGAATCATTGATTTCTTAAATATATTTTACGATGAATCATTTAACAAAAAAAATATTACAATGAATCATGCACATACAGTGTACTTTATGCATAATGGATTTACATTTTATATGAATTTAATAAACATGATACATATTTTAGTAAGATACAATGATTTTAATGTATTCATTGTACTTTATGTATAATAAAATTATTTTTATGTGAATTCAATAAATATAATACATAAATTAGTAAGATACAATGATTTTGATATAATAAAAAATAACCTTTGTTGAATCTCAAAGCACTCTTTAAATTAATAAATATTAATTCATGGATTATATTATACCTCTACAAAATAATAATATTCCATGGTCCACCTATATTAATTTAGTGAGATTTTATGTATTTTTCTATATTATGTATAAATATTTTTAAGATAATATTTTTTATTTGCATATTGAACTTAAAAAAATATATAAAAAGGGTACATTCAAAATTAATTTATATTATACTCCCTCCGTCCCATATTAGTTGATCATTCTCCTTTTAAGTTTTAACACGCATATTAAGAAATCATAAATAAGAAGATAATTTTACTAATTCACCCTTTAAAAATCTTTTTATAAATTTTAGAAACAAATGTGAACACTTTCAAAAATAATTAGTAGCAAGAGTAATGTAGAAAAAATGTAATAATATTTTCTTAATTTAGTAAGATGGACAACTAATATGGAACAATTATTTTTAATAAGATGATCAACTAATATGGGACGTGAGGAGTATATAGGAGTGTTGGTAATTGCTCGCTCTAATCCATAATAGGTGAATTTGTGAGGCAATATACATTCATTAAGAAAAAAATTAGGATATAAATTAAACACCTCTTTCCACTTTTTTTTTTAAAAGTTATTCTCAAACTATTTTGAAAATAAAAATAATTTAAAGTAAAATCATAAATACGAGCAATTAACTCTTTTGAATTTATCACGTAAAAAATTGTAAATGACAGACAAAAATAGAAGAATTTTTCAACATTTCTCTTAAACACTGAATAGTTAACTTATTTTGAATATTGGAAAAAACGTTCAAAAAATAAATTATTATGCACTAGAGGGAGTTAGGGCTGTTATCGGTCGGTTCGGTTTGGTTTTAAAGTTTATCGGTTCAACTAATCGGTTATCGGTTTGTAGACATACTAAACCGTTAAGAACCATTAAGATACTGGTTTATCGGTTACTGCTCGTTATCGGTTCGGTTATCGATTTAACTGTTAAGATTTGACACAAAAAATAAATGATTGAAAATAACTTAGAAACATGGTGACAAACCAAATAAATCATGCACGTGAGTTGATAAATTGTATATTACTAAAAAAACAACACTAAAACATTGTAGAATAATCGAAAGTTTGAGACTGCCAGAAATAAAAATATGAAACTAAATTCTAAGTCAAGGACTTTATATAGCAAAATGGTATAAATATAATTTATTAATTTACTATCGGGTTATCGATTAACCCGTTAAGAATTGATAATCCGATAATAAAAAAATTAAAATTGTTTTCAAAGTCGTTAAACTAATAACCCAATATCGATGAATCAATAACTTTTTTTCAATTTAAGTTATCGATTTCAATTCGATTTTGAACCGGCCCTAGAGAGAACACTTATAATCAAAATAAAGATAAAAAGAGAAAAAAAATTGATCAGAAGTTTGCAAAAAGCATCCGTTACAAAAACAATTGGCATTTTTCCTTCTTTCTTGTCTTTTTTTTTTTTTTAATCTTTTCCTTATTTTGTTTTTACTTCCTTTGTCCCTTTCCTTTTATTAATACTATCATTTAACCAACACAAAAAGTAAAAAATAGGGAAAAAAGTCTGAAATATATTTGAACTTTGATCGAAATTATTGTAACAATATCGAACTTTGGAAATGACCTTTTACCCCCTGCACTATTTAATAATGTATTTTAAAGGTATATATGTGCCCACGTGGACATCATAAATATTGCAATATTATAAATAGTAACGTATCCACGTGGGCACATATATACCTTTAAAATACACTATTAAATAGTGCAGAGGGTAAAATGTCCTCCATAAAATTTGGTATCGTAACAGCAAATTCGGCCAAAGTTGAAGTATTTTTCAAATCCTTTTCATTAAAAAATATCCTTAAAAACTAAACCTCACCACATTTTTGCTTTTATGTACACACTAAATTCTCATCTTCTAATTTTTTTTTTGTCAATTATGTACATATATATATTTTTATATTATGTGTTTTTACCAATAAATATGATTTAATTATCAGTTGAAACGTTATGAATAGTAATTTTGGAGAAAGTTATTACAAAAGTTTGTATATTTACTGAAGTTAAATAGAAAAAATTTCGCATTAACAACTAATGGTAATTCATTAAACTTCAAAATTAAGAATTTTGGTAAAGCTATTTTGGCACACTTTAAATTTTTCCTTATAAATGATTTTATAACAAAATCAACCTATGATAAAAGATGAAGAACCCCAAAACAATTAATGAATGATGGAAAAATTCGAAAGCTCAAAGAAGATGAAAGATCAGCTATCAGACACGAAATAGAGTATAACTATAATAAGTCATCAATTTGCTGGCAAGTTAAGTAAGGAACGGTATGTTCATTTCGATCTGTAGAAAACATAATTTATCACAGTAAAAAAATCATCTCATAAAGCTATTAATACATTTTAAAGCTCGAAACTCAAAAAATGAATAAAACAACACTATTTATCTCTCTTATGCTTTAAAACACTACAATGATTAAAATTAAAAGTGAAAGATTAATTTTGATACAAAACAGAGCACGACTATAATAAATAAAAGAGTAATAAGGAATATGCTCATTTCATTAGATATCATTTAAGCTTCTCCATTCCTAAAATTATGAATATGATCATACTGAGTCATGAGCTTAATTATTGGTTTAACTGATTTATTGACAAATTCAGTAAAAATAAATATGTCCATTTATTCATAAATATATTTTCGACCTATCTATTCACCACAACGTAAATCTTATCCCATAACTCTATTGAATACATTAAGGGATAAGGGTCTGAAAAATACCTCAACTTTGGTCGAATTTGTTGTTGCGATTCTAAACTTTCATAAGAACCTATTACCTCCCTAGACTAATTAATATCGTATTTTTTACCCTTGAACTATTTAATAGTGTATTTTAAAGGTATATATGTGCCCACGTGGACACATTACTATTTATAATTTTGCATTATTTTTTATGTCCACGTGGGCAAATATATATGTTTAAAAGACGGTATTAAATAGTCTAGGGAGGTAATAGGTCCTCATGAAAGTTTAGTATCGCAACAGCAAATCCGACCAAAGTTGGGATATTTTTCAAACCCTTATCCCTACATTAAAACTCCAAATTTTAAAAATGATTAAAGCAAAACAAACACAAAGTATCTCTCTAATGCTTTAAAACACTTACGATGACTACGGTTAAGATTAAAAATGAAAGGTTAACTACCAAATACGAAATAAAGTATGACTATAATAAATAACAGAGCAGTGAGGAATATGTCTATTTCATTAAATATTGTTTAAGCTTTTTCGTTCCTAAAATCTCGAATACGGTACTGCTTCATGAACTTAATTACTGATTTGGCCGATTTATTGACAAGTCTAGTAAAATAGATCTATTCATTTACCCATAA